TTCACTTTACTGATCAGCCAAAAAAGCATCAATCATAATCCAAAATACAAAAAGTAAAATTGGGGAAATTCTGCATAAAATCTTCCTCTGCCATTGATAAAAATGACTTATTGTAATTAGTGGAAAATGTAGCCTGAATGTTTACCGCCTTAAGGTGTGCATTATGTACTCAGCATAAAGGTCCCTGCACCAAAACATACAGGTCAGCAACTGCATCAAACTTGGGAAATTGGAAGAAAAAAATGACAGGTAAAGGAGATGCTTGAATGATTTGTTTGGATGCAGAACTTTCATCTCTTTCTTAAAGAACAAGAAACATTAGAGCTTGTACCACCATGGCTCAGAAACTTGTGGTTCCTTAAGATAGACTTACATTGAGTACTGGATAGCTTCAAGAGCAGCGGCTGCAGGCAAAAAGGCGTTAACTGCAACCTCTTTGTTCTCATTCTTCTTGTCTGTGCAATATGTTAAGAAAAAAAAAAATGGTACTGTTGTTCAAATAGTTCAAAAATCTGAAGTAATGCATTAAGTTTCAAAGTAAGAATGTGAAGGATACAGTCTTCAAAGAAGCGACGGATCTCAGAAAGGCGATGAGGGGGAAGGTCATTGAGTTCAGTGTAATGGGTATATTCTGGATCATCGGCACAGACTGCAATAATCTTATCATCTTTCTCTCCCTGGATTAAAAGCATAAAATCCGTACTGGTTAAAGTTTAGGGACAAAAATTCAATGCAAAGAAATGAGAGATGTTCAAGTTGAGAGGTTTGGAAGAGTACCTGGTCAATCATGGGCATTACTCCAATGGCTCTGGCTCGCAGAAAACAACCAGGAAGGACAGGTTCCTGTTTAAGTCATCGATTTAAGTCAATACTTAGGCTCAAGAATTTTGTCCCTTTGACATAATGTTCCAACTTCCATCACCACTCAATGGAATTTGGCTGACAAAACTTTCTTAAAAATAGATGGCTATGAAAATCTGGCAAATCACCTGCATGATAACTAAAACATCCAGTGGATCATTGTCTTCACACAAGGTGCGAGGGATGAAACCATAATTGTGAGGATACACGACCGACGAATACAAAATCCGATCAACCTGAGAATTTATTTAAAGCATTAAGAACAATCTTAATATCAAAGTTGAGATATGCAGAAAGTAATTGTGGAGCTGTGAACTTGTTTCATACCTTAATCAGTCCTGTCTTCTTGTCAAGTTCATATTTGACTTTGCTTCCCTTGGTTATCTCAACAACCTAAACCAGTCCAGAAAACAGTTCAATATGCAGTATTTTATCGACAAACTTTTATGAATTCCCTCTTCTCACTAATTTTGGCTTAATGCCAAATTTATGCTTGTTAATTGATGAAGTTGGAGGGGATACATACAACGTTGAACATGTGGGGTGCAGTAGGTCCTGCAGACAAAGATTTTACACCATGATTAGTTTCTTCCAGGAAAATAAGATAGCAAAGCAAAAAGTAGAGATTTATCATGGTCAAATTATAAGTACCAATTTCAAGATCATGCCAAGGATGTGCAGCAACTGATCTCCTTGACAAAGATGAAAGAATCCTCTCATTTAACTTGGGAGCTCTTTGCGGTTTAGGTTCTTCGTTTCCTTCAGACATCTCTATAACCACAGGCAGGTAAAAGGGTAAAAGGTAAAAGGTAAAAGGTAAAATGTCACATGCAGCAAGCAGTAAATCAAACATGCAAACAACAAATAGGATACTGCGCAAGAAACAATGAACACTTCAAAAAATAAGGAAAACCAAATTACCAATCTAAATATTGTAATTGAAAGAGAGATTATGCAGTGTGATTAGAGATTAACAGGTCAATTTAAATCTCTGTATCCAATCAAAGACACGTTTTTTGGATGAAAATTGTGTTGAACAAAAGTCAAAGCCTCATTCATTCATAATTTCCTTTCTTCCCAACAACCCATAAAAGACAAGATCGTTATTTACAAGATTAGGAAGCATAAACAAAAGACCTTAAAAAAACAAAAAAAGGGTTTTGATTATAATCATGGTATATGACAGAACAAAATACAGAATCAGTTGAAGCACAGAAGCACACCTTCAGTGGGCTGTTGCTGTTGGGGCTGCTGGGGTTTGATAAAGAAACTTGAAATTAAGAAAAGGGAAGATGGAATGAGCAAATGAGAAGTGAGAGCTATAAGGTTGGAGTGATTGGATGAATATAATAGTAATAGTAGGTGGGGAGGTAAAAGAGGAGAGAAAGGTGGGGTTGGTCAAAACTTTTGAGGCATTTTGCCTCGTGTCTGCCTATGAGAGAAGGTAGCTGCCCCTCACGTTGAACCTTCAAGTTTGTTGGTGATTATTATTATTATTATTATTTATTATTTATGTTATATATGAAAATTAAATTCATTAAGTCAAAACGAATCTCAGTATTTTTCATAGCTAGCATGAACATAACATGTGGATGTGACGTGGATTATAGCAATTCAGATTGGATAATTGGACAGTTTCAAACATAAAAATCCTCTTTTTAATTTTAATATTTGCACTACTTTTGCATTTCTATATGCTTGTTTGATGCCTATGTCTAGACTCTAGACCACTGCTTTTTTAAGGTTCAGAAATTGAGCCCAACAGGCATTCTTTGGAAGGGGCTTGTCTTGCAAAAGAAATATTGGAACTTTGTTGTATATGGTTTAACACTTTGTGTCACTAGAGAGTCCAATACGTGGAGATGAACATGACTTTGGAGGTTATAGTTGTTGGGATTTTAAGATCACTACTTTTGATATCATTTTAAATTTAGTTGGTATCTTGCTATTGTGTCCAAGAGTTTGATGTATTTGCATTTTAAGGTGTGGGAATTAGACCTGACAATATTGTACACGACCTGTTAACACGACACAAATTCGCACGAAAATTTCAGTATGGAGGTTTATGGATTGGGGAAGGAGGAGAGAAAGAGGAAGAGGGGGGTTGTGCGAATTGTAACGGGTTGTGTTAGTGTTTGACATTTTTCACCCGTTTTTTTTGTCGTGTCGTGTCATGTCAACTTGTTAAGAAAAACAAGTTGACACGAACACTGCAAACACGACACGAATGCCAGGTCTAGCGGAGCCTATAGCCAAGCCCATTAGCCCAACTCTCCAATGTTAATCATACTCACCAAACCATCATAGTGCATTGTTTATAAACAACTTTATAGGAGTGTTGAATTTCACAAAGGGCACCTCAAAAGATAAGCCTATAGAAAAATCCTTATTTTTATTGTTGGTGCAATGTAGAAATATATTTATAGAGTATAGCTAGTCGCGCGACTATCCTCTATAAATATAATATTTTAACAGTATCGCCGCGCGGCTATACTCCATAAATAAAATATTTTAAACGTATAGCCGGGCTATACTCAAAAATAGAATTTTTTAAACGTTAAGCCGCGCAACTATACTCTATAAATAGAAAATTTTAACAGTATCGCTGCTCCACTATATTGTAAGCAGAATATTTTAACGGTATAGCCGCGCGGCTATACTCCAAACTAGAATATTTTAACGGTATAGCCACGCGGCTGTACTCTAAAAATAGAATATTTTAAAAGTATTGCCAGACTCTAAAAATAAAATATTTTAAAGGTACAGCCGCACGGCTACACGCGATGAATAGAATATCTTAAGAGTAAAGCCGTGCGGCTATACCTCAAAAATAGAATATTTTACAAGTATAGCCGCCCGGCTATACCCTTTAAGTAGCATAATATGGATATCTGTTTTTTAATTACTTTAATTTGTAGTAATGTTTTAGTTATTATTTACTTACTAAATAAATAGTATTTATATTGAAGAAAAAAAAAGAAAAATTGAATTCCTGTTTATTAAGTAAAATAATTCATGAAGTTAATTAAAATATGCCTTTTTTTTGTACGTTGGAAATCTTGTAAGTGAGTTTCTGACTATTGGATATTCAGTATTTATAATACTGATTGCACCCTTTCAAACCACAGCTGTCATAAACCTATGTTTTATCCTTTTTAATTTAAATTCTGCTGTGCAAAAACGAAAAAATAAATTACTTATTTTCTTTTGAGTGTCTTAATTAAATTTCTCCACAACCCAAGAGTCCCAAGGCCCAAGTCTTTGATTAATATAATTATTATTAATCAAAGCCAAATCCGAAGCCAAGCTTGGAATTAGGGTGGCCCTACCACTAGTAATACCAAAAGAGATTGGACTTTTGCTCTATGAATGTCTTAGAGAGCCTGTGCCAAGTGTTAAGTAGGAGAACTTAAAACAACGTTATTCTCGTGATATAGAAGATTTTCCTGTTAAGAAGGCCAATAATACATTATACATGAGATATTAACTTATTATACCAAATTTTGGACACCAATTGATGTTATAATGTTTCATTTGTTGAGCTTTATTTATTCACAACAAATAAGAAATTGTCACATTAGTTGGTGTCCGAAAATGGTATCTCTAGTATTATTGTTAAGATGTACATAGTGCTGGCCCATTTGAGCAAAAGTAGAAAAGGCAAGCGATGCTTTTTGTATTTTGTAATCCTCAGCAACATCAATGCTTTATTTAGCTGGTAAATGCGATTTTGGCCCCTTTCTATGCATTGGATTGTCAATCTGTTAACCAAGGCCTTTTAACCAGATAGTCAAGATATTGAGTCTACCTTTCTGTTTTCCAACTTGTGTCTTTGATTGCTCATAACTATTTGTTGGATTTTTGCTTTTTGGGTTAGTTTATTGTCAAAATCTAGACTGCTGAAAGTTTGAGTCTACCAGAAATTTAACAGCTCTCCATTCTCTCATGTGCAAATTTTAATAGAGAATAAGTCATCGATTTTAAATTGGATCTCGAAATTTTCCTTCTCTAAACTATAATGCGCAAAAGGAGATAAAGCAAATTGAGAAAAGGAAATTGATTATAATTGTTCTTATACAAATTCTAAAGCCAAAAACATTTGAACATGGTACTGCTTTGAGTTGTCTCTAAACCACATATAATGGAAAGTACCAGGTAGCAGAATTGTGATTATAATTTATAATACAATCAAATTTAAACATGTAATGTAACAAAATTGTCTGGTCATTTTGATTAATCAACCGAACAAGGTCAATCATAATCCGAAACACGAAAACTAAAACTTGAAGTTTCTTTGCCTCAAATCTTCATCTATCATTGATGAAATGACTTATTGTAATTGGTGGAATATTGTAGCCTGTATGTGTTTATCGCCTTAGGGTGAGCATTATGTACTCTGCATAAAGGTCCCTGCACCAAGAAAATTACAAGTCAGGAGAGTAAAGCATGGTGTTTTTTTGGGCCTAATTGAATGATTTGTTTAGATACAAAAGTTGTATCTCTTTCTTGACTGTATATTTTCCCCTTTGTAGAAAGTCTTACATAGAGTACTGGATGGCTTCAGCAGCTTTGTTGGAAGGCAAAAACTGGTCAACTGCAACCTCTTTGTTCTCATTCTTCTTGTCTATGCAATATGTTAAGAAACCACTGTGCAGTTCTTCTCAAATTGTAACAACTCCTAAAGAACATTTAAACATCTATAAAGTAATGCATTAAGTTTCAAAGCAAGATTGTAAAGGATACAGTCTTCAAAGAAGCGACGAATCTCACAAAGGCGATGAGGGGGAAGCTCTTTGATGTCAGTGTAGTGATTATAAGCTGGATCATCGGCACAGACTGCAATGATCTTATCATCTTTCTCTCCCTGGATGAATCCATTAAAGTCAGTGCTCAAAATTCAATAAAAAGTAGCAGTTGAGTTTCAATTTGCTAGAGAGCTGTGGAAGAGAACCTGGTCAATCATAGGCATTAGTCCAATGGCTTTGGCTCGCAGAAAACAACCCGGAAGAACAGGTTCCTATTTAAGTTCAAAGATACAAATAAATGCCTATGAAATTCAATACCTGTACTCAAGATTTTGTGAAAAATATATACATTCAAGCATTTTGTCTGTTTGGCAATCTGTTCCAATTTCCATCGCCGGTTGAAGGAATTTGGTTATCAAGAATTTGCAGAACAGATGAATATTACAATCTAAAAACTCACCTGCATGAGAACTAACACATCCAGTGGATCATTGTCTTCACACAAGGTGCGAGGGATGAAACCATAGTTATGAGGATAGACCACTGACGAGTACAAAATCCGATCAACCTGAGAATTTACTTAAATATTAAGAACAACAATCTTAACATACATAAATATATATATAACCTTGTTTTTTCGTACCTTAATTAGTCCTGTCTTCTTGTCAAGTTCATATTTGACCTTGCTTCCCTTTGTTATCTCAACAACCTGAACCAACCCAACAAACAATTCACTTTGTAGCATTGTTTTGCTTCAATAGCAATTTATGCTAGTTACTTGATAAGTTGGAGAGGATACATACACAATTGAAAATATAGGGAGCTTTAGGTCCTGTAGACAAGAATTTGCAGCATGATTAGTTTCTTCCAGTTTAAATGATACCATGGCACCAGGGAAAAGAAAAAGAAGAAGAGAAAAGCAAAGAAGAAGTTGCGGGGATATATCATGGTAAAATTATAAGTACCAATTTCAAGATCATGCCACGGATGTGCAGCAACTGATTTCCTTGACAGAGATGAAAGAATCCTCTCATTTAACTTGGGAGTTTTTTGGCGTGGTACTGTTTGAACTTCACTTTCTTCATCAGCCATCTAACCATAGGCAGGCAAAAGGTAAAATGTAAAATATCACATGCAAACAACAATTAGGATATTTATCTCCTTTGCTCTGTCCATGTTTAGCAATATGTAAATAGAAAATTTGGACCCTACATCAACAATAGATCATGGTCTAGGATTATCCATTAGCATTCTAGATATGGTAACTGAAGGAGGATGATGAAGATGTAGGCATCAAGATTACTAGAAGATTTGAGGTAAATCAACAAGTGAAGTCCCTCATAATTTTACATTTTTGTACAAAATTCCAGCTTATAAGATAGCTACTTAGCTAGTTTAGTTATGTTCATTGTGGTTCAAAAGGTGTTTAAAAATTATTGGACTTCGAAGGCTTAATTGGTAATTAATAGACTAACAATGCATATCGAGCTAACACCCTTTCTCACGTGCAACCTCCTCCTAAACATGCAAAGGCGAAGAAAGATCGAAGATTTCGAACCCAAGACAACATCTTCGGTTTACAAAGATTGACATAAAAAAAAGGGATCTATGAGATTAAATAACATGAACCCCAAAAAAAAGTTTGATAGCGTGATTGTATGGTATAATAAAGAATAGGTTGAAGCATACGCACCTTAAGAATGGTTAGGGGGTTGAAATAGAAACTTGTAAGAAAGAAGATAGTTGAGCAAATAAGTGTTAAGATTAGAGTCTTTGGATGATATTCATATTTATAGTAGGTTGGGAGGGAAAGAGAGGCAGGGATTGGTCAAAACTTTGAGGCACTGACACATGTCTATCTGAGAGTGAAGGTAGCTGCAGACCCTACCTGTTAGGCTGAACCTTGGAAGTTAGTTAATTTTTCATGTTAGTTATAGGACATTCTAGCTTTATTTTCTCAGATTCATGGTAATGGTGTTGCATGCTACTTACTAATTTCTGCTTCTTGAGGGTAACCATGACCATGAGGCCCATATATAAGATTGCTCTGGTTTGCAGCCAATGAGCAATGCAATGAAATTTGAACTGCTAAATAAATTCAGAGTTTTAATTTTGTTTAAAAAAAATAAAATCATCCCATTGTACAGAACTGGTGGATTAACAATTCCTATTGGATCATTGGACGATCTCCCCAATTAATTATGATAATATAATAATTAATACAACTTTTGCATACTGTTTATGTCTGATTTCTATCAATTAGCATGTCCAAATCCACTGCTTCTGAGACTCAGAAAGCGAGCCCACTAGTGTTCTTTAGAGACATTTGTCTTGCAAAAGTAATATTTATATAAAGTCATAATTCTGTTTTTCTATATATAAAAAGAAATATTTATGTGTAATCTATTTTTCTTATTTCACAAGATCTCCCCAATTAATTATGATAATATAATAATTAATACAACTTTTGCATACTGTTTATGTCTGATTTCTATCAATTAGCATGTCCAAATCCACTGCTTCTGAGACTCAGAAAGCGAGCCCACCAGTGTTCTTAAGAGACATTTGTCTTGCAAAAGTAATATTTATATAAAGTCATAATTCTGTTTTTCTATATATAAAAAGAAATATTTATGCGTAATCTTTTTTTCTTATTTCACAAATTTAATCTTATTTCACAAATTTAAGGACTGATCAAGGCCTCTGGCAGAGAGGTAGATAGAGACACCATGGAAAGAGAGTAAGTTTTGATTAGGGTTAGACTTTCTTCAACTCTGTATATTCATCAAATGATGAGCCTTTCTGTTGATGCACATGGGCATGCAGGCAGGCAGGCAGGTATATTATATATGCAATGCAAAGTTTTGAAGTTTTGATCTATTTTAATTCACTTCAGCTGATGTACAACACATAGAAGTAACAAAGAGTGCATGTAAAACTTCTATGGAAAGTGAAAATGGACAGCCAAATTTGTTGAGCAGCAGTTTCGAGGACCGATCAGAACAAATTCAAGGCACATATGTTGAATCAGGAGACATGGATATCATCTGAAGTAGGCTGGAGTTCGAAAATGTTTCCTCTAGCGCAGGCCCCCTCTTGCTACCTCCATCACTGCTGTCTCTTCTAATATGTACTAGTTCCCTGGCAACATCATACATTCCCAGCTTTCCATCTCCACCAAACAACAGGCACCTCATGGCAAGGTCTGCAACAGTCTCTATCTGCTCGCGCCTATATGAAGGTTGCTCGTGATAGTAGAGATGTGGATCCACAATCTCTTCTAGCTTGCCACTCCTTATCTTTTGCAGGGCTACTGTAGGTAAGTCCAAGCAATTTGAGCCTGCAATAATCTCAAGAAGCATGACACCGAAAGCATACACATCGTTTTTGTGAAAACGCGAATCTTCATGGGTGTGTGACTGAGAACCATCTCCAAGACTTGAAATCAGTAGCCCGAACCCAGCAACTTTACTGGAAAAGTTTTCATCAGTGAAGATGTAAGCAGATTTGAGGTCACAGTGGAAAATGGGAGGAGAAATCTCATACTGCAAAAAGGCAAGAACACTAGCTGTTTCAGCAGCAATGCTCAGCCTCTTGTACCAGTCAAGAGCAACATTTTGTCCTCCTCTTTGATGTAAATGTTCCTCGAGGGTACCGTTTGCAGGGTATTCGTATACTAGTAGTGGAGTGTAGGCCAAGTCAATACAGCATCCAAGTAATCGGGCTATATTCCGGTGTAGAACAGCAGATAAAACCTCGATTTGTGATAGGACTTGAATGAGGTCTTTTTCATTCTCACATTCTACCTTGTGCACAGCAATGTGCGATCCATCCCCAAGAACCCCAGCAAAGATAGTGCCATTGTTTCCACTTAAAAGTTTCTGACCCTCTTCAAATCCTTTGGTAGCTTCCTCTAGCTCATGGTAAGTGAATAGCCGGGTCCTACTAGCTTTCCGGAATGATATGGTGCTTTGAAAGTGGGGTTTCTGAGCAGGATCAAATGTCCCCGGTTTAGCAGGACGCTTTAGTAGACACACCAGTGCAATCAAGGAGGCTATGATGAAAACTGGAGCAAGAACCCCTGCAGTTCAAGATGTCATGATATTATACTCAAGGGGAATGATGAGACAAATTCAGGGAAATTTATGATTGATTATGTCATAATTCATTTCTTCAAAGGGAGAAGTTGATACGATTGAAAATACTTGTTTTTAACTGGTAGATTAAGTAGCCAGACAAGAATGCATAGGAAGATTTAATGCAGACATGGGTTTATTTTGCTTATTGTGTTGTCACTTACCAGCTAAAATTACAAGTTTTTTTCCACCACGCTTTTTCTTCAAGCAATCATTCCCATATGCTTCCTTTCTGTCCTTAATGCAGGCTGTCAAAGGCATGCCAAATATAAGTGATGCCGCCGTAAATATAGTGGCGGCTTGGAGTTTTCAGCCACACCAACAATGTGAAAAGAAAAATTAAACAAAACAATTATTCTGAAGGCATGCAATTGATTAAAGAATATCAAACTGCTTTATCTTTACAAAGGCTACAAATCATACATAGGCTTTTTTAGGATGATATAAAGAAATGCAGAAAGCAAGAGTCTCAACCTTTGCTTGTGATACATAGGATCTCTAATAAAATAAATCTGCAGAAAGAAGGATATATAAAAACTTTTCTTTGAATAAGTTAAGAGTTGCCTCCATCACGATGACAATCATGGCATACACAGAACTAACAGAAGATAATCATATGCACTAATTAAGAACAATGCATCAATAATGACTCAATAAGCTATGTGTATTACAGAGTAATTCAATCTGATAGATAGTCAGAATTTGTTTCTTAAAGTCAGAAGTGGAAAGTTCAAGCTCACATAACATCAATCTTTCTATGGTAACTATAACCTAACAAGCGGATATAATCATGCCCAAAATGAAGCTACCAAACAAACTTGATGAGAAAAGCTTGATGATTTATAAAATATCCTAATAAATACTCACATTTGATGCATCCTTCCCCAGTTGCAAAGCCATCTCCAAGGAACCCATCTTCACAGATGCATCTCACCCCTGCTTCAACCACTGTGGCATTGGTAATGTAAGCATTGCTAGCACAAACTCCCTTGGATGAGTTCTTTGGTACTGCCCATTCCAATTTTACCCCTCGTTTTCCCACGTTGGACCCTCTTTGAACAACCCAACTGGAAAATCCCCTGCATCCAAACTTGGAAAACACTGAAAACTTTTCGCCGAAATGCCACACACTATGATCAGAGAGAGGGTAACAGCAAGCAGGAGAACCATTCACATTGCCGTCACAACCAGGCAAATCATTTGTTTCACATTCTGTCTTGCACAAAGAAGAGTCCTCACAATCATACAAACCAATTACATTCTCAACTGAGACACCAAAGTGGTCATTTCCCAAGAAATCAAAGGAGTTCAAGTCATTGTACTGACGGCAAGAAGGGGAGCCTGGAAAGTCCACTAGTAGACCATCAGAGAAGAATTCTAGCACCCGGTAGCTTTCGGAACCAATGTTGAGGAAAAGGGCAGTTGAGTTTAGGCATGAGAGATGGAAAGCATCAGAGACTGAACTACAAGACTTGTTCAAGTGAAATGGAAATGGTAGTTGAAGTTGTCCACATTTTTCATGGCACAGCTGGTTGTGAAGCAAATTGGGTTGTTCTAGTTTCTGGTGTTCATGGAGGGAATTAGAAATTGATAAGCAATTAGAGAGTCCAAGGAGAAGAAAGGAAGCCAGATATAGAGGTAACATAGCCAGTACTGAAAGTGCTGACTGGTGTAGAGAATATTTGGAAGGAAAAAGATATACTAAAGGAAGAAGAAGACTGAAGGCTTGATGAGACTGTACCTAGTAAATAGCCATTTTGTTGCAATGCTTATATGCTAGTGGCAGTTGAATAAAATAATGAGGGAGTTTTGATAGTGTAATATCACTCATACATAAATATTCAATACAAACTGAAGCTCATGTTCTGCCATGTCAAACAACCACGTGACAATGCTGAGTGGCACAGCAGTCTAGTTAAAAGATGGTACTTGTGTTTAACTAGAGTGTCTTACCACTCGGCATTATTGTCACGTGACAGAAACAACCACGTAGAAGTTGTTCTCGTCTCGAGAGGGCCCACGGAGACTAAGGGCTAGGTGATGACTTGGCAAGATGAGGAATGTAAGGGGGGTTTTGAGGGTAGTATAGCTTAGGAGTTTGAAAAAGAGGCGACGATTTATGGTCTGTGGAATGGGCTACAGTTCGTACCGTATATTCATATGGAATGCTGTGCATTCTGTGAGCGTGGCCAAAGTGTGAGCTTTCCGATTCACTTCAAAGGCCTATATAAAAAATAAATAAAAGATTTGAAGATATTTATAATATTTGCATGGGCTTCGAGATTTTGGTATTATAATGGCATTAACGTACAATTAAGTATGTAGTTTGAGAATTACGGAATGTCAGATCCACACAATACAATATCATTATAAATTAATATTATCTTAATGCAATATTAATAGAAATTAATATTATCTTTGCTATTAAAAAGAGGCTAAATTATGTATCTGCTGCTATATACTATGCAACCAAGTTGTGATCTCAAGCCCCAATGCCACGCTTGGTGGGTTTTCATAGCCGCGTTTCTTGCAACAAGGCTATGACATCTGTGCAAGCTCACAGAGTCACAGTTGAGTTGAGTTCACTCTCTCAGCCAATTTTTTGAAATTTTGGTCAAAA